AGATTCAGCGCATATAAACAATGATCAGCGCGTGATCACCTCGTGGCTTGCTGGAATCTACAATGGTATTGGTCAAACGACCACAAACTGCTACAAAAAAAAACACTTCTAAAAACTATCCATGGACAACATAAAATAAAAACCAAAAGTACATGAGCGAAATTTCCACCTTCTGATTGAATACACGATTGCAATCGATTTATCATTGATTGTCCTGACATGTTCAAAAATACCTGGAGTATTCCTAATAACATTTCAATTGTCGATTAATTTATTCTTCAAGTCATTCACATCTAGTACAGGAGTTTTATGAACAAGAGCCTTCAGATGAACCCATGAATAGGAATCTAAAGGATTCAGATCAGGACTGCAAGCTTGCCTATGTTGAAGTCCTACATGTCCAATCCAGCGATTAGGGTAGGTAATGTAGAAATGCTGATGAGCTGGAGCCCCGTCTTGCATAAACCACATGTTGCCTCTTTCACGTACAGACACTTACTCTAACGAAATGGGCAAATAACCCGCAAAGCAAAAAATGCGTGTAGGATTCACCTGTTAATCTTGTTGGTAGAAAAAATGAGCCAATTAGGTAGTCACCAATCATTCCTACCCAAACATTCAGTGAAAATTGTTGCTCTGCTAACGTAGGGATTTTTTCGGCCCAAAAATGTTCATTGTGAAAGTTCATAATAGCATCTCGTGAAAAATTTGCTTCGTCCGTTAACGAAATATTTATTTAAAAAAAACTAATCAATACAGTTCATTGTATGATTTTCACTATAAGGGTTTTACAACAACCGCGACACGTGTTTCGCTATACAATAGCTTTTTCAAGCATAAACTGAGAGTTACTTCTATATTACACCATTTTATACTCTAACTTAGTACCTATTCGTCTACCTAAATAATAAAACTACCTGTAAAGGTCAGGTATGAATTCATTAACAATATCAATGCATTTTTCGAAAGTATACCTGTAAATATACCTAACTATTTTTACCTGCAAATGAACAGATTCAATAATGACGAATTATTCAATTCAGTTTGATCGTTCATACGATGTTGAGAGTTTTAGAATTTGTTTATTTCCATACTCTCCAGCAGGTTAAGTTTCAAACCTTTTTTCTGTAAATGGAGGGGTTTGTATTCATGGTTGAACTCATGTCCCTCTGAGATTAAATGACTGGCAAATGTGGAATTTATTTTTCCATTCTGAAAACTATATTTGTGTTCCTTTATGCGGGCCTTGAACGTTCTTCCAGTTTGACCTACATAAAACATCGGACATGACTCACACGATAACGATTACCCTGGTGGATATTCTATTGGACAACAACTTCATCAATCCGGTAGTGAAAAATGAAATATTAGACTTGCTTAAGGTGTGTTTGTCACATAATTACTTCCAATTCAATGAAACGTTTCACTCATCCTGCAAAGCTCTCGAAACCCACTTAATCCTATTCTGGCAGAGATTTTCATGGACGATTTGAAGAGAAGAATACACAGTAACCCACTGGTAAGAAGTTTCCTGTGTTGATATAGATNGAGAATCAAAAACTTTTTTTATTTCAACTGAAGTTCAGTTGATAATGTTTACTATTTTTAAATTAGTTGAATTATACAAACAACATTATTAGTCGATGGAATCCAAGTTTATTGCCTACCACATTTAAATCTATCCAAGAAATTCGAAAAAATATCATATTATTTGAACAAAGATCAAAAAGTGTCTGAAAACTGTATCGAGAAGAGATACATACGTATAAAAAAATAATATTTCGAAATGAAATTGACCAAACTACAGATGAAAAAAGAAGAAGAAATAACACATAAACTATTGTCAAAATCAGGTGGTTGAAATATGTTCTACATTTCATTGACTGAGTAAAAACAGTATCTCAGAAGAGGAAGATGATTGATTATACAAATTATAGTCCAGGCTATTTTTTTGAGATTTTGTAAAACGAAATCGGTCTCTGTTCGAACTAAATTGGCATTCCGTGTGTTATAATTATGTTTGACTGTCTGGTCAAGGAACTCGAATTATTGTGAATTTCAACGAAAACTGTAAATATGTATAATGTATCTTATGGCATTGTCTCAAATTTTACGAAAAGATGTTGGCAATGTTCTTTATAATTAGAGTGACTGATGATTCGTATAGTTCTTTTTTGAATATTTGCAGCTACGATAGAATTTCCCCAGAGAACTACACCATAGCTAATGGAAGAGTGAAAAAGAGAAAAATAGGTTGTTTTTAAAATATGGGGACTAGTTACATCTCTCAATTGACGTAAAGTAAATATTGTTGAACGTAATTTACTTTTAAACTGATTAGTGTGACAATTTCAAGTCAGTTTACTATTCAATAACTTTACCTTTTCCACGTCATCATTCACAGTACGCACAGTAAAATGCAAATTTAAAATTATCATGTGGGTCATGTCCGATGTTTTATATAGGTCAAACTGGAAGAACGTTCAAAGCCCGCATAAAGAAACACAAATATAGTTTTCAGAATGGAAAAATAAATTCCACATATGCCAGTCAGAGGGACATGAGTTCAACCATGAATATAAACCCCTCCATTTCCAGAAGAAAGGTTTGAAAGTTAACCTGTTGGAGAGTATGGAAATAAACAAATTCAAAAACTCTCAACATCTTATGAAGATCAAACTGAATTGAATAATTGGCCATTATTGAATCTGTTCATACGCAGGTAAAAATTGTTTGGTATATTTACAGGTATACTTTCGAAAAATCTATTGATATCGTTAATGAATTCATATCTGACCTTTTCAGGTAGTTTTAGTATTTAGGTAGACGAAAAAATACTAAGTTAGAGTATAAAATGGTGTAATTCAGAAGTAACTCTCAGTTTATGCTTGAAGAAGCTATTGCATAGCGAAACACGTGTCGCGGTTGTTGTAAAACTCTTATAGTGAAAATCATACAATAAAATGTATTGATTAGATTTTTAATATGTAATTTCATCAAGTACCTGCCAGTTCTATTCAATCAACGAAATATTTGGTGAAAAAATGGTTTGTCATCGTATGAATGAACTACCTGCAAAACATCAATCTTGGCTGAAAATACCAAGGCAGTAGAGCGTGGACCCGCTGTATGTGAGATGGGTATAAAAGGTTTCTTTTTGGAACTGTCTATACGGTTTTTGAGCCGACTTCCAGCTGCAGAGCAATCTTCCTGACACTAATTGAAGGATTTTCTATCGCATCAAGTATAGGTTCTTCTAGTTCAGGCATTTTTACAGTTTCTGGACTTCCACCTCCTGCATTTTTATTAAAACTCCCAGTTTCACATAATTTTGCACATAGCGTTTTAAATGTTTTAGCATGTGGAATAACTCTGTCCTCGTAAATTGTCCGTGCTTCTTCCGCATTTCTATTTGATAATCCATAAATAAAGTGTATATCAGCCATTCCAGCGATAGTAAACTCTGTCTTTCACTAATATAACAGCACTATCACTGTCAGCTGGTCTCCAAAGCAAGCGTTCATGATATGCAAAGTGAATTCAAATTTTTTTCTCGAAAACGAAGCTAGATAAGAAGAAAACACAAGAGACAAAAAAGTTATATTTTCAGTTGATTAATATAAAAAAATACAAGTCAGTGGTGTACTTTCTTCCCAATATTGTTGGCTGCGGTGCCCACTGAGACTCCAATGGAACTAAAAATTTGAATCCAGTTAGGGCTAGGTAAACGCCTTATTACTTCAAATAACTGTAGCGAGTTTCAACCGAATCGGTGTAAAGATTTTTGATAATACCGTTTTTTCAACTTCAACGCCCTTCTGAGAAAACAGAGTCGAGCGAATGAGTTCTGAAAGGAGTGTTCAAAGAGGCACTTCAGGATGTTGCATATATTCTTTAAACTCAACCACTGAATAGAAGCAGTGCTGCAAAAAAAATCTTTTTATCTTTTTTTGAAAGGAAATTATATTGAGTGAGTTGATATCAGATGGTAATATATTATACACATGATAGTCTGATGAATTTCTTTGGGAGACTGTAAGCCTGTACCTGGGAGTTCTGATATAATCATCAACCAGAACTATTGATAGTT